TATAAATATAAATATAAATATAAATATAAATATAAATATAAATATAAATATATATTTGGTAGTTTGATAATATGCCCATTTCACAGCAATAGATTTTTTCCCCCTAGAGCCTATGATCTCCTGGCTTATGGGCTTTTGACCAGGTTTACAGTAGCAGGAATTAATTCCCTCCTGCAAATTAATCCAAATCAATTGGTTACCCCTCTAACCTCCCATTATTTTGCACCAGTGAAAGGTTTGTACTTTTATTAATCTAGTTAGGGTTGCACACATGCAAAAATGTGCTCATGTGGACAACCAGACAACTTCATCTGTGTTATATCTAACAAAAGAATTTCAATATGCCTGGCTATGTATGATTAGAAAGACTGGAACTCTAAATGGGTGAGAGCTATCGGGGTGTAACTACCAAGAAGAAGTCATATATATTTTAATTGTTTTAGGCATATTTAAGATTTCATAGTTTTTGAGAGACTTGAGTCTTTGAGGAGCCCACTGCTATAACTGCATTGTTCCTCGGGTGACTTTTTAAAAGTGCAGGTGATACTCTGGAAGTAGGTGGAGAACTTCCTGGCTCCCCAAAAGAATTAGGAGATAATCCTTTGAGATAATTTATGGGCTGTATTCTTACCATTTTAAGTGGTGAGCAAAGCTTGAATGAACTGAAAACAAATAGTCTGTGGTGTCTCACCTCAAGGTGTTAGCTGATGAGAGTGTTTGAGTGTCCTGCATGTCTTGTTTCCTTGAACTGCCACTTGTGATTATCAAATATTCCTAGACAAATGATTCAGGAGTTGAAGAATTAGAATAAAATTTCCAAACATAAATTTTATTATGGAGTAAGTAAAATGTCTAAAGCATCTGAGGTATAAAATCAAGCATTTTCAGATGGATAGTTCATGGACAGTGATTTTATAAATTATTTTCTAAGTTAATATTCTCTTCGTTTCAGAAGATTATTAGGTGTAGTCTGTACTCCTTAAAATGTAATTACATTTGAGTGGATATTCATATGTCAACTTAAATGTAAGGAAAGTATTTTGAAACATGTACTTAGCCAGATGAAGGGGTAATTTATATCACATATTAAATATTGTACCTGGATGTACTGAAAGATTATCTGGATGTGCTGAAAAATTATTGAAGTTTGATTGATAATACCTTTAATGTAGACTTAAGTATATCAGCTTCAAAGCAATATGACATTGAATATATATATACATATACATATACATATACATATACATATACATATACATATACATATATATATATATATATATTTGTGAGAGAGTACCAAGTTTGTATTTAACACCCAGGCAGTTCATAACCAGTCATAACTCCAACTTCAGGGGATCCAATGCCTCTGACATTTGCAGGTAGCTGCACTCATGTGCACATACCCAAATAAGTGTATACATACATACATACACACATACACATAAACACACACACACATAAACACACACAATTAAAGAGATAAATTGATGTAACTACAAATTTAAAAAGCAATACTTTTTTCTGGACAGTTTTAGTTCCCCCCAATTCAAATATTTACCCCCCTTTGGAAGAATATTTTCTGAGCATTAATTGTGTCTGATAGATGTTTGAAAATGGTCCTGTATTCTGTGTGCTGGGTCTTCATGAGTTAAATAAAAAGGTGTGCTTGGGTTTCTCAGTGGCACACTGGAGAGCTCTTGTGTTTTCTGAGCATCTGCAGATAGCCGAAATTCCCCTGGAGATTAGGTACTAGGCTGAGTGTGAAAGTCAGAATATGCCCTACATCACCAGTTCTGTGCTTGGATCCAGTGTGCATAATACCATGTGGAAAATAAGACCACAGCTGGGTCATTCCTTTATGTGTTTGTTTCACACCAGCTGAGTCATTGTTTGGCTAACCCCACAGGAAGGACCACTGCAAGTGTTGAGTTGCTTGTTAGCATTGGTTTGTGTGCAGCTGGGAGAGAAAGAAGTGTTTGCTGACAAGGTGTGGGCAGGGGTGACTGTACACTTGTATTGTAAATTCTTCTAGCGGCTCATTTTTCCCTTGCAAAAAGAGTGCAGAATGATATTGTTTGTACCTTCACTTATCTGAAAAGTTTGTCACATTTTGGTTGTGCTATGATTTGAGGTCTGAACTGGGAGTGGACATTTCCCTGCCTGTGTAGCATGTAGGTGATGCTGGGATGTTAATCAGAGTTTCCCATCATTATGTAATTCTATTTATGTCTGTAAAGATCATTTCTGGGTATGCTACTGACATCCCCTTCTGTTTTCCCATCATCAGTGGAGATTGTGGACCCCGTTGACATCTATCTCAACCTCCTTCGGACTATCTTTGACTTTAATGCCATCAAGAGTTTGCTGACAGGGCCCAGCCAGCTGAAGATCCGTGTTGATGCTATGCACGGAGGTGAGCCCATGGTTGTTTGTTTGTTTGTTTGTTTTTTTCCCAAAAGGAGTGTCTGAGAACTGTTAAGGAGACCTCTCTGTGTTCAGATATACAGAATGTTCTAGAAAATTTTAGGACTTCAGTTACTTTCTGTTGATGTAAATGAAAGCAAAAATTGAACCAGTAAATGTGGGGCTTTACCACATCGAGTGTGAAGTAGATCAAGACTGCCCATTTATTGACTTGACAATTCATACCATATTTTAAAAACAGCAGAATAAAAGTTATCATAGATAAATGTAGCTGCCCACCTCCTTTCTGCAGTCAATGTCTTACTTGCCAGTGGCAACCTTTTTCAACCCCTCTGCTGATTTTTTTTTTTTTTAGTATTTATCTCCTTGTTATACAATATCACAATACACAGCTCTTCATTAACTTTTAAATTTTAAAGGCCACGGGCTTCTTATTGGACTTTTACAGTCAACCCTTTACCTCTCTCAGCAGCCCCTGGCTGCTACTCATCTCTCTTCTGCTTTCATTATTCTGCCTCTTCTAGAAAGTCATACAAATAGGACAGACTCAGTAGTCTTTTGCTTCACACTTCATTCAGCACAGTATTCTGTAAAATGGTGTGCGTGGCACACATGACCCTTCTTGTTCTTTACGACTGTTGAATACTATTCCATCTTATTGATGTACCACATTCTGTCCATCTGTTTGCTGGCTGATAGAAATTAGCCTTCCTGCCCCTGGTGTTCGGCTATTACCATGAATGGTGCTATGGCAAGTCACAAACAAGTCTTTATGAGAATGTATGTTTCCATTTGTTTTGGGAAAATTTCTAGCAGCAGGGTTGTGGAATCTGATGGTAAGCATCTCGTGAACTCCATAAGAACAGAGTTGTTGTCTAAAGTAGCAGTTCCCGTAACACAGCAGTGGTGGGGGCTTTGATGTCTCTGATCCCCAGCAGCACTCTCCATAGTGTCAGTCTTTCCTATTTCAGACACTTAGCTCCATCATTCTCCCTGTGTGAAGAGGTTTTTCTCTGCTGTTTATTCTAGACTCATGTTCAGTGCATTCTGCAAGATTTTGGTGACCCTTGGCTGTCTGGCATGCTGAGTATCTGTTGGGACCTTGAGCACTCTTGGGTCCGACCCTCCCTGGGTTTTGCTTAGAGGGTCTGTTGCTGGGATGTTTTGCTACTTCTTTTTGGGCTGATCCAACTCTCCAGAAAAAACTCTTTCAAGTTCTTGACCTGATCTGGCCCAGGAAAAAGACAACCCCTTCTTCCTGAATTTTGTGTTTGTGTCTCATTGCCTGGCTCCTACTGTATGTCCATCTTCAAGTCAGTCACCTTGGCTGAGGGCTGGGGAACAGACTGTCAGATGTAGGTTACCTCCCTAGCCATGGGGACAGTGGAACTTAGCTATATCATAGTCATATGGGCTGATTTGGGGGAAAGACATGGTTTTCCAAAAGAACCTCAATGCTTCCTCTAGAGAAGGGGACACTGGGGACAGAGTCACAAGACAAGAGATGTTTATGATGTGATCTCATGTACATTTCAGCTGGCAGGAGTGCATGGTGATCCTATCACAGACTCTCCTCCCTTGATTTTAATGGCTTCCACTTGTATGGTCCCCCTACTGGTACCCCTCTCAAATTTATACTCTTCCTTCAAGTCCTACTCAAAACACTGCATTCTCTGGGAAGTCCCACCTATGAGTATCATTTTCCTAAGCTGTTGGTTGAACCCAATTAGGCACTTCACTTTTGGTCTCACCTCTCCGGTCATCTGTACATTGGATTTACCTCACTATTAGATCAGAGCCCAGGAATGGAGGCATCATACACCTCACCCTCTTTCATCTGATCCTTTGAGTTCTTAACATAGGGGTTCAATGTTAGGTCTTCTGGTCCCTGGAACATCTATTCTTGTTTAGCATTCATTGTTTTGCAAGAGGTGCCTTGTTTTATATGGGGCTTCTGGGATCTGGATGCTTACTTGACAACATTACAACAGTTGTGCAAAGGGAATTGCTAGTGCCTTTTAGTACTTTCGATATACTCAGTTGGAGTGCTTAGTACACGAAACACAGCAGGTAATAAATCATTATTACATAGTTGATTTCTTTAAGGCAGTGTTTTATGAAATCATAAGGAAAAAATTTCATCTTTTTGGATGACTGACATCTTTTATCTGCTCAACAGAGCCTCTGGTACATGCTAGATGATCAATAAATGGTAACTGATATGATTCTTATTTTATATTGTGTCCTAAAAAATGGCTGTATAAATTTTTCTTCCTCTGGGCTATTAAGTGAATTGTTCTTTTTTATTACCAGAAGGAAAATGCCTAGGGAAGAGTAGCCTTCAAGTATTTTCATGTTCTCCTCTATCTTTTTTTTTAAGTTATGGGACCTTATGTAAGAAAAGTTCTGTGTGATGAACTGGGAGCTCCAGCAAACTCTGCAATAAACTGTGTCCCATTAGAAGACTTTGGAGGGCAGCACCCAGACCCGAACCTGACATATGCAACCACCCTTCTGGAAGCCATGAAGGGGGGAGAATATGGATTTGGAGCTGCATTTGATGCTGATGGGGTAAGTGAGGGGATTTTCAGTCTGCTGACCCTCTCATCACGTGATGGAAGAAACATCAGAAACCAGAGACTCTGCAGCTCATGTGCATGGGGCACTGGGCTCAGAGCTCATGTGCGTGGGGCACTGGGCTCGGCTGCGACTCTGCTGTTCAGTGCTAGATAACACCATGAAACAGCCACAGCTTTTCTTAGTTTCAGATTGACGGATGCTAGTTAGAAATTATTTCTTTAAAAAAAACAAACAGCCAGGCAATAAATTTTCATTTATTGCTGGCTTCGTTGAAAGTACCACATTGCGAGACTGGCTACCTATCAACTACTACCACTCTTCAGTCCACGTGGGGGGAGGAAGGGATCGAGTCTGTGGAAGCCACTGAAGCATGAAGGAGCTGTGCACACATCTCAGTAAGTGGATCACATTCCAGCTGTATCAAGATTCCAGGCCCCTGAGGGACTTATATGGTTTCTCACACTTCCTTTGGCCAATTCAAATCGACTCAGGCTGTTTAAGGGGGCAGGAAAGTGGCTTGTGTTAATGACGGAAACTGGGTACGAAGACCAGATGCTTCTTCGTGATAATCTTCACACATTGCTTCCCACAGGACCGCTACATGATCCTTGGCCAAAATGGCTTCTTTGTGAGTCCCTCAGACTCCCTCGCCATCATCGCTGCCAACCTCTCTTGCATTCCGTATTTCCGTCAGATGGGGGTTCGTGGCTTTGGGAGGAGTATGCCAACCAGCATGGCTCTGGACAGGTAAGCAGGGACATTACTATGATGTAGCATGTGGTAGACATCTGATGCCAAGGCTCCTTTGTTGGTGACTGAAAATCATTCTCTCTGCTCCACTTACAAACTTGGTGACATCCTGGGGACTTCAGGGTGTGGTGTGATATAGCAGTGTGAGAATCAAGTGGTCTGAGCTGGGCTCTTCTTTTTTATTTGATCTCTATGTCTGTCTTATCTTTATCTGTAATATGGGGATGCTAACAGTGTCATCCTTTTATAGATTGTGGTGAGGTATGGATGACATCATGCTTTCTGTCACCAGAGGTGCTTGTCTGTTCCTTTACTACAGATTTCTTTGTTGTTGGCTTATTTTATTTGGTACCTTTTGTTCATCCATATGTATTTCATTGAAACATAGTAAATACCTCATAAGTGCATAGTCTTCTTGAATCTCAAGGTATATGTAAATATATACATGTATGTATGTATATAATATATATATAAAAATATATGTAGTGGGATAATTTTCTGGCTACTTTTGCAATAAAGCTCGGTAATCTGGGAGGAGCTAAGGTGGGAGGAGCAAAGAGGAGAAAAAGAAGGAAGAGGAGGGGAAAAGGAGGAGACTAGCAGCCATGGAGAACTACAGATGGTTCAAGAGCAATTCTGGGTAACAATTTACATCTAAATGTTACGTATTGAGTAACAACTCTAATTGTGTGGGCATCTTGTTAATTGTTAATTGAGCATTTCCAAATATATAAATCCATTGGTTAATAATTAAGTCTTGAGAGTCTCATTTCTACTGGGAACTGTGAGCATGGCGGGTATTGTCTGTGGTTCATCCGAGCTTTGTGGATGCGGCGTGGCAGATTGGCAAAGCCATCCTCCTACACCGCAGGTTGTTTTTTTAAGAATGAAGTGACAGAGAACACCCAACAGGAGGTTCACTCTGGGGATGCTTGGAAGTAGGACCTGGATTTGATCAAACACAGAGCCTAGGACATGCTAGGCAAGCTCTCTGCCACAACACTACATTCCTGTTCCTGCATCTGATGTTTTCAGACAGTGTTTATTATTATAAGAACAGAGCATGCACATTGTAAAAAGTTGGAAAGCACGGACAAATGAGAAAACAGACTATCACACCACTCCCAGAGTTACCTATGGTGATAGGTAAATTTATTATTGTACTGAGTCTTGTTCTGTATGTGTATTGTACAGATATAATTAAATATATAAAATAATATACATGATACCAATGTATACTGCATAATACTGAAAAGACCAGACAGTTCACACTGCTGTTTCTATTAATACATTTTTCTTTATCGTCTGAAATCAATATATTTAAATTCCCCCTGAACATCCCCAAAGTATTTTGAAGGATTATTTTCCCAAAGTAAGATCCCATCCAAGACCACACGTTGGGTCTGGTTGTGTCCTGTGGTGGTCTTATTTAGCACAATTCCTGTCCTTTGGCAGAGGTATTTGGAGATCTGGTTGGTTGTCCTACAGAATTGTCCACCTTCTAGGTCATATGGCTATTTTCTTGTGGTGTTACTTCTCAATCATTCCTAATGTAAAAGTTATATGCTGTAAAATGTATAAGCTTGAGAGTTTAACTCAATGAGTTCTGAAAGTGTCAACATGCTCTTAACCACCATTTAGACAAAGGTGTGGATTGTTCCCAGAATTCCCTTCACTCTATCTCTTCCGGTTCTTGCAGATAGCCATTGCCATAGTTTCTACCACCATTGAGGCCTGCCTGTTTTAAACCAGACACGAGTGGGATCCTTTGCCATGTCACCCTCCATGAATCCGTATCATTGCCTATATCAGAAGCGCATCTGTCCTTGCTATGCACTGTATTAATACGTGAGACTATCACCATTTGTTTTTCTGGATTCTCCTTGATAGACAGCTGGGCTCTCTGCAGCTGGTAGCTATTTAAGGGTTTTGTTGTTGCTGTCGTTGACACATTATAATCACGCCTGGGTAAATATCTAAGAATAAATATTGATTTTTAGGGTAGTTGTACATTCAATAAGCTGAAAACTATTTTCTTCCATACACATTTCTCAGAAATGTAGGGATCGTAGTTGCTTCATATCCTTAGTGATATTTGGGGTTGGGACAGACTTTTCACTGTAGCCATGCTATTGTGTGATACATATCATTTTATTATAGTTCAAAATCTTACCATCCAATAACTGACAATTTTGAGTAATTTTGTAAGCTTACCAGCTACTTGGTACCTTCTTTCATTGTGTGTTCATTCAAAGGGTATTTGCATGTACTTAAAGTTGGGTTACTGTGATTTGTGTTATTGATTTGTGGAGGTTTTTATTTATTTATTTTGGATCAGTCTTTTGTCAGATATAGTATTGCTTGTATTTTCCCTGCCTGTAGCTTGCCACCCAACCTCTATGGGTGTGTGTGTGTGTGTATGTGTGCACATGTGTGTGTTTGTGTTCGTGCATGCATGTGCATGTGTGCCTGTGTGTACACATGTGTGTGTGTACACATGTGTGTGTGCATGTATATGGAGGTCAGATGTCAACGTCAGGTATCATTCCTCAGACGATGACCATGATTCAGTTTTGAAACAGGGTCTCTCACTGGCTTGGAAATCATCAAGGGGTCTAGGGATCTGTGTGTCTCTGCCATCCCAGGGCTAGGATTACCAATCTGCTACCATACCCAGCTTTCTAACAGGGATTTTGGGCATGCGCCTTACTGACTTGAACCATCTCCTCAGCCTCTGCTTTTCATTTTCCAATGAGTGTCTTTTGATGGACAGAGGTTTTTAATTCTTATTAAATCCAGTTTGCTAATTTTTTTCTTGTACTTCACTAATTATGTTGTTACTATTAGAAGTTGTTTTGACTTCTTTGAAAAATATTTGCTTCCTCTTGTTGTGTGATACTATTCCTGGGAGACGTGAGCAAACATCTACTCACCGCAGGAAGGAACTCAAGACAGACCAAAGTAAGGACATCACCAAAATCCAACTTGGTGAACTGAGGTTTATTGGAGTTGCTTACAGGAATTAGGGTGAGGAGTTATTTACAGGAGCAGAAGTGACTCAAAGATGTCTGCATCATCCAAACCCCTCCCCAGCATGGGTGACAGCTCAGGAAAGCTGGAAACTAGAATTCCTAGCACACCCTGCAGGTAGTGCAATAGGCTAGAGAGTGTCCTTTCCAACAGCTTAGATGGTCTGAGCCTCTTTGAGTAGCTGGTTGACTTGTTTCTTCCAGGTGACTTGGGTGGTCTGAGCTTTGTCTAAGAAGCTCACATTATCTGAGAATCTCTCAACAGTCCTTACAGCTTATATATGATTATGGAGGGAGGGGCCTAGTGTACCTGGCCAGTTTCAGGGACTTCCTGAAGGCTATTGAGTTATTTATTTCCTGAATCTTAATGAGCTTCCCCCTAATATGGATGGTTCTCAGAAGAAATTGATGTCCAACAGTCTTAAGGTCAGAAAGATATTTTCCCTGTGTCTTTCTTCTGAACATTTATGACTGTGGGTTAGTAACCCTGTCCCTCCACTTGAGGTCCTGTCTATCTACTGGAGATGGACTCTTCAAGTTCCCTCTCCCCAATGTTGGACATTCTGGCTAAGGTCACACCCATTGAGTCCTTCAATTCTGGTTCCTTTTTCTGTGTGCTGTGAGGTCACAATTGAGAATTATCTTTCCCCATGCTCAGTTGCTCCAACTCTGTTAATTGGAGGATTTTTTTTTGTCCCCTGAATAGTATTGATTTCACTGTTACAAACTGACTGGAGATATTTGGCTCTCTCATCCCATTCTATTCATTTTGCTGCTCTTTACAAACATCCCCACACTGAAATCAGGCCAACCTTCCTGCCGTTTCTATTCTTTGTCTAATTAGTACATATGTATCCAGTAGGCTCTCTCCATTACCATGTATGTCCTAGACTGATGTGTCAGTTCACACCAGAGCCCTTTGCGACCTTGACTGAGATCATGTTGAATCTATGAAGCCATTTGAGGAGGATTACAGTTTAATAATATCAGCTCTCAGAGTCTACGGATGATGTATTTCTAAGTAGCCTTTCTTCAGTGTCTTACATATAAACTTGAAGTTTTTAGTGCAGGTGCCTCATGGTTCTTGTTACATGTTGGTTCTGTTGTAAGTGAAATATTTTTTTTAAAGAGAATTATTTTATTATTTTAAATTTTTATTTATGTGTATGTCTATATCTGTGTGCGTGAATGCCATATGGTTCAGGCATCCACGGAAAGGATCCTGGACATGATGTAGCTTATTTGATACCACAGGATTCAGGATTCTACTTAAACCAAATTTTGTAATTTAGACAGAATTTGCTTATATCTAACTTATCTTGGCAATAGGTTTTGTTTGTTTGTTTGTTGTTGTTTTTTTTTTTGAGGAACTTGTGTCAGTAATTCCTTTCTCTTTGGCCAGTCATCAGAAGAGTTAAGAGCCTTCTACTGGGTCCCACAGTTAACTGGAAACTGGCAGGATTCCGCCCTGAATCTCCTGATACACTTCCTCAGGGATCCAGAGAGTACCAGCGGAAGCAGTTGAAAACACTGCCTAGCTCTCTTGTGGTAGCCAACAGCTTTCCAAGCCATGGCCAGGAGTGGGAAATTTCATTCTGACATCAGAAACTATTTGTCCTCTTTTCTCGTGGAAATGTCCCAGGAGCTCTTGATTTCACTTCATCCACTTTCCCAAGAAAACCTCCGTTCAGTCAGAAGCCAGAGGCCCTGCTCAGAGATTCACAGAGGCCCTGTTCTGATTCGTGAGTGACCATTTAAAAGGATTATTCATGCTTGCTGGTTGGGGTTCAGAATTCTGTGGAGCTCTGACGTGCTGATTTGTTTTGGGTATTTGATCTGCTGGGTAGCTCCCTTGTGGATTCTCATGATGGACACTTTATAAGCCTCTTTCTTCCTGGTGAACAAATGCAGGTTGATCTTCTTGTGGTTTTCCAAATCACTTGTTGATGTTATTATTATTGATATTGT